GCCATCTTGAATATTCACTACGGTGGCCATATTGGGCGGCCATCTTGGATATTTTATTGGGCAGCCATATTGGGCAGCCATCTTGAATACTCTATTGGGCGGCCATCTTGATTATTCACTACGGCGGCCATATTGGGCAGCCATCTTAGATATCACTCAGGCGGCCATATTGGGCAGCCATCTTGAATATACTATTGGGTGACCATCTTGATTTTTCACTACGGTGGCCATATTGGGCAGCCATCTTGGATATTCACGAGGGCAGCCATATTGGGCAGCCATCTTGGATATTCACTCAGGCGGCCATATTGGGCGGCCATCTTGGGCAGCCATGTTGAATCCTCCACTGGGAGGCCATCTTGGACATACACTCGGTCAACCATCTTGAATATTCACTCAGGCGGCCATATTGGGCAGCCATCTTGGACATTCACTCAGGCGGCCATATTGGGCAGCCATCTTGGGCAGCCATGTTGAATCCTCCACCGAGAGGCCATCTTGGATTGTCACCAGGACAACCTACCCTGTAGGGTGGCCATCTTGAAAAATCACATATTTAACACTCGACCGAGCGTCCATCTTGGATCATCGGGCGGCCATCTTGAAGAATGGCCCCTCCCACCCCAAATCCCCCCTTCCGGTGCCTGTTGGGGTCTGACCCTCCCTCCCCCTTCCCCCCCCCCAGAGGTCGTGGGCTGCGCGGACCCCCAGGGCTGCGCCCGGGCCTGCGGCTCCCCCGTCGGCTGCTCCAACGTGGCCTATCCCCGGCTGGTGCTCGGCCTGCTGCCCCCAGGTGGGTTATTAGAACGTCATTAGTGCTTATTAGGGCGTTATTAATGGTTATTAGGGGTTATTAATCCTATTTTGGGGCTATTAATCATATTTTTGGAACTTTTAATCTTATTTTGGGGACTATAAATCATATTTTTGGGCTATTAATCCCATTTTTGGGGTTATTAATCTTATTTTGGGGCTATTAATCCCATTTTTGGAGCTATTAATCCTATTTGGGGCTATTAATCCTATTTGGGGGCTATTAACCCTATTTGGGGGATATTAATCCTATTTTTTGGCTATTAATCCTATTTTTGGGGTTTTAAATCCTAATTTTGGGGGCTATTTATCCCATTTTGGGGGCTATTAATCCTATTTGGGGGCTATTAATCATATTTTTGGGGCTATTAACCCTATTTTTGTGGCTATTAATCCTATTTTTGGGTCTATTGATCCTCTTTGGGGGCTATTAATCCTAATTTTAGGGCCATTAATCCTATTTTTGCATCTATTTACCCTATTTTGGGTCTATTAATCCTATTTTGGGGCTATTAACCCTATTTTGGGGCTATTAACCCCATTTTGGGGCTATTAATCCCATTTTTGGGGCTATTAATCCTATTTTGGGGCTATTAACCCTATTTTTGGAACTCTTAATCCTATTTTTGCATCTATTAACCCCATTTTTGGGGCTATTAATCCCATTTTTTTATCTATTAAAGCCATTTTTTTGGCAATTAGGGGGTCTGGGGGGGGTCTTTCCCCCCCGATCCCCCCCTTTTTTTACCCTTTCCCCCCCCAGGGCTGCGGGGGCTGATGTTGGCCGTGGTTTTGGCCGCCCTGATGTCGTCGTTGGCCTCGATCTTCGCCAGCTCCGGGGCCCTTTTCACCTTCGACGTTTATCAGCGGCTCCGGCCCCGGGCGAGCCCGAGGCACCTGCTCATCGTCGGCAGGTGAGGGGCCGGGTTTTGGGGGGGTCCCAGGGGTCCGGGTGACCCAAATTTGGGGGTCTCAGGTGTCCAGGGGACATTGAGAAACCCCAATTTTGGGGTCTGGGGGGTCCAGGTGACCTTAAAGGACCCAATTTTGGGGGCTCAGGTGTCCAGGAGGCCCCAAATTTGGGGAATTTCGGGGGTGGGGGGGGGGTCCCAAATTTGGGGGTCTCAGATACTTGAAAGGCCCAAATTTGGGGGTCTCAGGTATCCAAATGACCCAAATTTGGGGGTTTTAAGTGCCCGGGTGACCCCAATTTTGGGGTCTGGGGGGTCCAGGTGACCTTAAAGGACCCA